AGGAGAAAAAAGGGGGGAAATCTTGTGCAGGTACAGTATAACTTGAGGTATAAGAAGTTGGAATGTGCTTTGTATAATCAATACTTGGTGCTAATTGGAGAATTGGGACCAATCTTGACAAAAAAAAACATTTTATGGCAAAAGTTTCAAATTAGTTCAATGAACATTCAATTTATGTATGATTTCAAATTTGGGATTTTTCATTTTTGAAAGATTTCAGTCTTCAACTTGCTAAAAATATGGTGCATGTCTTACTTGGGGATACAGTTTCATGTAAATTTGAGACTTAAAAACCGAAGTGCATGTCTCTTGTGAGGGTGCATTATGGTACTCAAGAAAATACAGCAATTGTAGAAGTCTACAGAAGAGAAAATCTGTCCATATAAGCTCATAAAGGATATAACTTTGAAATTACTGCCCAGACATGCCATGTAATGACAAAACTGAAATCACAATAGAACCTTGCTAAGTCAACATCTACCACTCAAATTTTCATTCATAGTCACTCCCTAAACTCCCATTTTAACGCAATACTGTACAATGGGGCCTTGAGCAAAATACACACTACCAAACACAAAATTAACAAAGTGGGTGTTGGCCTCACAACTACTTTGCAAGTTTGCATTAAGCAAAAAACTTGAATTGAATAATGCTCACTCAGAGTACAAACACATCAATGATTACAGAGTAAGAATTGATAATACCCCAGTGATCAAATGGCATCACAATCCTGTTACAGACAATTGTATCTTACAAAAAAGTTACTATATTATGCATTGCAGGTTAAATACACAAACTTTCTTCAGCATGTTGTTTTTATTCCAGTGAGAAGGGAGACATTCCTTCCACACAACCTGCCAGGTTTTGAAATTGTAACTCATTTTTGATGCCATGAATATACAAGGGTTGGTTTGTAAAATATGATGAATGGCCACTTGCTGTCTTTGGAGGCAGATGCAATTTTTTTTATTTTGCTCTTCAATTCTTCATTGGTGTCTAACAAATGTTTCATTGACTATTCAGCTATAGAAGGAAACAAAAAATAGACCTGGATCACAGTGAATCCCCTTCACTGAAGTGAAGCTTACCACATTACCCCCAAGTCATAGAGCATGCAAGTGCTCATTCAGCTGATCTGGATCAATTAAACTTTGTTTCAGTCAAGGGGGTTCACTGTGATGCAGGTCTTTTTCTAGTTTCCCTCTGTAGCTGAGTGGTCAATGAAATTGTTGTGTGACACCAATGAAGAATTGAAGAACAAAAGAAAACATTGCATCTACTTCCAACAACAGCAAGTGACAGTTTATCACCTTTTATGAACCAACCCTTGTATTACACAGGAATTCTATATTTTTCTAAAATGTATGCCACAAAACTGACAATACCTTTAGAAAAATTTAAAACGCAGTTTCAATTAGACTGAACATTTCCACAAACGATTTTTGTCAATATGCCCGAGATCCGCGAGGTGGTTCAAATGTATGTAATCTCGAAATTTCCTTTAAGCAAACCACCTTCAATTGATTTAGATTTTGCAAATCAATCCGAATAATCTCGGAAAAAAATTAGTAACGAAATTCAGATGCCCTGGAGAAATTAAAACGGAGTTTCGATGAAGAGTAAACATTTCCACCAACGATTCTGGCTCCTCTTCCCGAGTTTCAAACTTATGGGAATTTAGAAATTATGATTATGTCATCTAGATTTTTTTTCAATCTAGCACTCCCGTGTTGTGCGTTCTCTTTGTCTACTCACGGAGGCGTTTCTTGGGTTTGACCTAACGCTGTAAACCAGCAGTGCCAAGCAAGAACACAATTACTGTACCAGTAAATGGGCTCATTGAACATTATATTAACCAAGCGAGCTAAAATTCGTACAGAAATTTACACACCTGTCGAGCAAATCACACGGCAAACTCTGCGGGTGGACACATCGAACAGCTCATATCCGGATTCTCAGCTGTCAGATACGGTCGTACTCGAGAATAATGAAGTAAGGCGTGATGCTTTTTATGGCAACTCTCACACGATTCCAGTTTTGCTTTACAACGTCGGCTGGTGTGTCCTTGTTTGAGGCACTTGAAGCAGAGGTTCAAGTTGATTGCTTTTTGGGTACGCCTTTTCGCAGACTTCTCCAAAAAGTAGAAGCAATCTTCCAACACATGATTGTTCCGTTTACAGTTTAGGCAAGGTTTTTCCGCAACGGCAATAACCTCGGGCTCTGATTCAGTTTCATCCGCGGAACATCCATCGAATTTTCTATCTTCGTCGATTTCCACATCGACCGCCTGCCAATCTTTGATAACCTGATGCAGAAACGCAGCGAAAGACTCGAGTTGGGTTTGTTTCACGGGCGTTTCCTTTTCACGGATCGACTGAACCCACTTCAACCGTAAATCAAACGGCAGGTACGCCAATACACATACGAACTCGAGTAGAAAATAATCTGAACCCATGTTATTCTCATTCAGAATCCTTGCGATTGAGTCTATCACATTCGAAAAGTTCCTCAACTCAACGCGGTCGTACATCCTGATTTCAGGAGTCCTCGCGAGCTATTTTTTATGTCTTGGTATATCAGGCTCAAGAATATGTATCTCTCCTTCAGGATTTCCACGGCTTTTTCGTACCTTCCTTCCTCAGCGGGGATGAACTGGAGGCAGTTCAAAGCTCTACCTCTCAGACGACTTTTCAACATGTGCAACTTCTGAACATCTATATCTTCCCACTTGACCATTTCCTCAACAGAACGCGAGAAAGTGAAAGTCCAAAGAGGATGAATTATCATCGCAGCATTTGATGTCCAACGTTGACCTGAGAACTTCATCAGCCATACTCCCCACAATGGCATAGGCCAAATCCCAGACACGGTCTCCCGCCTCGGCGGTTGATTTTTTCTTCGCTGATTCATCCTTCTCTGACAGTCCTTTCGTTTCCTCGGACATCAGCATCTTCCGAATCAACGGATCCCATTCGATGTGTAGCTTAGCAGGTAATTTGTTTTTGATCAGCGCCATTAGCAAGAATGAATTCAAATCTGCTGTCATATCATAATGAATCAGGGTCATTGCGATTTCCTGTACTATGGATTTGGAGGTCTTCCAATGCTTCTACATCAAACACCTTGATGGCGGGGAAATCTGCGAGCTTTTTCATCACCTCTCGGATTATTCTGCTCGGTGATGCATACTCCATTTTCAATATTTCCAACGCATCCTTGTATGCGTCTTTATATACACCAATGTTTTGGACGAGGTACAACGCTTCTCCTCTCAGATATTTCTTCAAAAACATGAATTTCAATGACCCACATTTCACACCCTTCACGATCAATTCTTCAAAGCTTATCAGGAAATGGATGAACTCGGTGGTGCCGCCATCGAAGGGCTTGATTTCAAAAACTGACAAATGTTGCACGTGATACAAAGCTCGTCCCATGGCATCAGATAATTCTTGCGCAGTGTAACTTGTTAAATCCAAAGCACTTAATTCCGTCATCACTGAAAATAAAGCAAACGGAACATAATTGTGCATAGAGATGAACATTGACTTAACGAACTTACTTCTGTCGCCCATACTCGGTGTCGATTCCTGTTACAATATCTCAATGACTTCCAAGGAGCTGCGGATTTTCCGCAAGAATTCACACAAACGAAATCTGATCGTTGATTTCTGAAGGGTTCAATGTCGAGTAATGGGAAACCTGACTGATTTGCTGCAGCTTTTTCAAGCGAAGCAAATTGCCAATGAACTATCAGAATCACCAGATGAAATCGAAAAATTAAGAAGCTTACGTTCTTCACGTTTTCACGACACACGGGGAATTTCCGAACTGCGCAAAACCATTCAGACGAATCTCTAAATACCAGGTTACGCAGGTGCAAGTAATTAACACACTAGCAAATGTAGTACCTTGAACTTGAAACACGATTGCTGTGAACGACCACGATTAGAATAAAAAAGACAAGCAAATCGAAGACTTTCTGAAAACCGATTGATGTTCTTCATACGCCGGACAGACGCTTCCGAGCTACGAGCAGCAGAATTCGCGGATTAAAAACTTTTCTCCACATCATTAGGTTCAAGAGCATCATAAGAATGTCCAGAAATATGCCTCGGTGACCGATCTCATCAAAATCAATGAAGTTCTGAAAACTTCTGAAATAGCAAAACTTCACTTCTAAGCCATAATAGCAGCATCCTTACCATTCTCTTCACATGTAACAGCACCTTCCTCACGCAATGTGAACCAGAACTTCCATTCATTCACACCAATGTAGTACAGTCGTGGAAAAAACCTGACGTAATTCAAAATTTCAGTGAAAAAAACACTCGTGAATATGCGACTGAAATCAATATTGGACAATCGCACCTTCCTAAGCCTGCTGGTCTTCGCGACCAACAGTAATTCCGGAATTGGACAAGACGGCAATTCGCGGACAAGGCGTTAAACACAGGCGCTTGCGCAGAGGCTTTCAAAATCTATCACTTTTGTCCGCGCACATTGATCATATAAAATAACCAAGAAAAATCGTAACATCAAGGTAGCGGTATGCTGATCTTCATAACAGGAATGTCTGATCAATTTCGACATATAACCGAACCTTATTCGGATCCGTACCACGAATGTAAAATCCTAGAACACGAACTTTTTTGTATCGGAACCGGGCTGCCACAGGTGGGACATCAGAACTTCATGCATCGTCAACAGAATTCGAAGTACTTCACGCGCAATAATGCATTTCGCAGCACTTGGAAAGCCTGCTGATCAGTAAAACTTCCGCGCATGCTCGGTAAAACTTCGGCTGACGAAACTTGTAAACGCAGTTCAAAATTCTTATCAAACGAGAATACCATAACTTCATAAGGCGGGAATTGAATTTACAGTGTTTTCACACGTTCTTCGCCCGGCTGTCTCATCGCCGCGCTGATCCGCAACGAATTTTCGTTCGCTGAAATGTCCCATGCCCGGGTTTTTCTGACTTGGTTGCAGCCAATTCTTCCATGCCAGTTGTCCTTGTAGGACTAGTTCTTCGAATAATTAATAGCTTCGCCGTCAACAGCAACGGGCGAACACCCGGGTTGTTCCACGAATTTTACCCCCTCACAGGATAGTTATGTGCAGGAATGGATACTAAAACACCCCAAGTCACATTTTACAACTGCGCCGCTCCCGCGTGTGTTCGTCATTCATCCCCTCGTCGGGTTTTACAGCACAGACGACTTCCGCTATCCCGGCGCACCGAAGACATATACGTTTCCGCCAAAATAAAACAGTTCTCTTTCCTCATAATTTTCAACTACACAGCTGTTCCGCGACCGGGACCTGGTCTTGTTTATAACAGATGCATTTTGAACAGTTCAGATTGCAGGCCTCTTTTTCAACCTTTTTTCCTCCATCTACATCAAGTACGGTATTAGCAACTACAAAGCGGGGGCTCCATGATAAAATTTCCTAGGAGAAAAAACCCCACGGCTCGGAAATCCGGTGAGGCCGACAATTCCGCGGGCCTAAAAAAATGGCAGGATCCAAAAATTCCATAGGAACAAAAATCTGGAGTACTAAAGAATTGTAACATTGTCTCTGGGTTTTCCTTCCACCTTTCTGGAAGGAATAAAAATCTGGTGAAATTGTGAAAGGGCGAGGGTTTTAATTCCTTCCAAGGGTTTGGGAGGTTTAGGAATTTCATTTTCCAATAGGACCTCACCTTTCCCAAGGGGAAGGTGTGCATGGAAGCCTGGGAAAGATGTTGCCTTCATTTTGAGCCTTCATTGTTTCTGATATGAACTTAGTACTTTTCAAGTGATTTTCCCAGCTCAACTTCGCCTTCTCAAGTAATAAAATTTCATCATTTAGGGGGGAAATCTTGTACAAAAGAATACTTTTTGAACTTTTACAAATGTTTTTTTTTCATAATCCCTTTATCGTGTACTGCTGTAAGTGTATAGTACAGTATATTGAATATTAAGATTGAAAATGAAATACAGTATCACTATCAAACTGCATTTGGACTTCTTTGGTAATTCAGAAGTTTATTTACATACCATTGCCTACCATTTATCAAAGGAGGTATTCCTGATATGAAAATTCAAGTTTTTCGATTTTTGTGCCAACCGGATTTTTGGACCCTCCGAGAATTTTAGGCCGCGGGATTTTCTCCAGCACCCCAAGCGCGTACCAGGTTGAAAACCTCCCACAACTGTGGACATTTCTTTGCGAATCCACAGTAACATCACCACTCCACACTGAATATTTATAACATAGAAGTACTGTACCCCCTATACAAAAGCACGTATAACAGGCGCACACAGCGATAACCTTATCCCTGCAGGCGCACTTCGAAAAATCATGACGGCCTGATCCGCTTAAGGGGCTAGAATTTTGACAAAACGACGATCGAGCGCAGAAATAGGTCTTGCGTGGTTTCTACTGATGAATTTTCTCCCGTCAAGAATTCGTTCACAGATTGAAAGCGTCACTGTTAGAATGGCAAAATAACTATGTACAGTATACTGTGTCAGCGACAACTCGGAATACCTGTACAGTATTTGAAAATGTGCCGAACCAGAGGTGGCCGATTTCCGCAACAGTATTTCAGTATGATCATCACGCCTAACGTGTGAATGAAATCTTTGAATCAATCTCACGCTCCATCGAAT